TTAGCTACTTTGAGTGAGCATTAATTTTGACGTAGATTATAAAACTTTTTTTCCCACCAATGACACCAAAAGATCATTTTAAAATCCATTTATACCTAGCAATTTGCTACATTTGCTGAATATTACGTGGTCAATGTATATTTTGTGACCCGGCACTTGTTGTTTCTAAATTACAAAGTAAATATATGAATATAATAAACATATGAATAAAACTACACAAAGTTACTCTACTAGATCAATATATATTGTTAAACACCTTCCACGCTACTTATACTTTATACTTTTTGTCCTGGGTGTCTTGGGTGGGTGATATTATTTTATAACATATAAATAATATCACCTAAACTCAGAGCTGCCGAGAGCTGTCACGCCGCCTGGGACAGTAATCCTGATTGGCGCCCTTATTTATCAAATTTTCTTTATATTATATATGAAGGACCTCTTTTTTTTTTTTTTTTTAGGTATCTTCATTTCATTTGGAGCCTCATGGATATCTGCCGCCCTGGACAAACTGTCCCTCGCGAACCTCTTCTCGGCGGCGCTGCCTAAATTATATCAATAACATTATAACATTATATCAATTTTTGGTCGTAAACCATACTGTTACTAATAGCCTAGTTTAAGTTGCATTCACATTTTATTTATATTAAAGCAAACACTAAAATTAAGTTCTTAAATTTCGGATGCAAGGTTATATATTTACAAATGCATATTTACTTAAGAAGCTTTTATAGAAACATTCGTCATAAATTAAGTTCTTAAATTTCTGATGCAAGGTCTATTTACTTATTTAAATATAAATTTCCGATGCAAGGTCTATTTACTTAAAAAGCTTTTGTGGAAACATATGTCAAAATAAGTTAGAAGAAAAAAAAAACAGTATTAAATATGAATTAATCTAATCATAATAATATATTAAAACACCATAAAAATAAATAATGATAAATATTGTATACTTTTATTAATAGCATTAATCATAATAACAATGTTAAAAAATAGTAAAAATAATAATATTACTAAACTAAAACAATGATATCATTGTTATTAGAACGTTAGTAACATTCTAATAACAATAACAACAATAAATATCAACAATAACAATAATAACAGTACTAATATGAGAAAAAGCAATAAATAAATAAATATTTACAAGCTCATGATGGGATCAAGATTTCCCACAGCAGATAAAGATAATAATAACAATATAACACACCAGAAACTTTTATTTGTTGTTTTTGTCTTGGATAAATTTGTTAATATTGTTGATAAAAAAAGTATTTATTTTATTTCCTGTTTTCAGATATGTATTCTTATTTTTAGAGAGAAAATAATTCCATTATTTAGTTGATTGATACTTTACATAGTAAATGCCATTCTTAGACGTTTGATTCAAATGTAACGCAAGGTTGCTGCATGGCACTGATCTTGTATTATTAAATTTATAATAACTATTAAAGCTTATTGATAAGTTATTATGTAGACTGCCCCAGACAAAATTACAATTAAGAAAGTTTTTAATCTTCATAACTTTTGATATACTACAGAGGATTTTATAATCAACCATATAAAAAGTCTAATTTGAGTCACTTTTATAAAAAACATGCATCTTGCAGTTCAACCATTTTATAATGAATTAAGCAGCATTAATAATTATTGAAATTTTGATCAATCACATTTTATAAAGTTAATAAGAACTGATGTCATTTAAATAGATTTGTTGTACCTTAACTTTATTTTAACGTTAGGTGTTAAGGCTACACTAAAGTCCAAATTACGATTTAGAAATACTAGCATGTCCTCTGTTTTGGCTTCTAAATATGCACGCCGTTAAATGCTTTGCAATTAAGAAGGCGCATTCTAATGGCACTGAAGATGCAGACATGCACATGTACTTGCGCGCGAAATTGCATAACTATATCCTCCTTCTACAAGGTTTTAAAAGAGTTTTGTCTTAGAGACAAGAAACTCTAATTTTGATAAAGAAATCGTAACCATTAGAATTTTTTAAAATGACTTCTTCATGATCTTCTTTCACATTATTAGTTAGTATTGTTAAACTGCTGTATAAAGATTTTAAACTACAAAAATGTATGAAATCATTTTTCAACTTATCAAATGACATATGAAGTAAAACTTAAATCTCCTAATATATATGTATATATAATATATGTATGTATGTATAATATATGTATGTATGTATAATACATGTATCTATGTATAATATATGTATGTATGTATATATAAATATATATATATATATATATATATATATATATATATATATATATATATATATATATATATATATATATATATATATATATATATATATATATATATATATATATATATATATATATATATATATATATATATATATATATATATATATATATATATATATATATATATATATATATATATATATTTATATATTTTGGTTTGTTTCATTTTCTTAAATCTGGTCCGTGTCAACGTCACGAATAATTAAAGGAAGCTTCCAGAAGTTTCCAGAAGAAACATCTGGAAGCATCCAGAAGTATCCAGAAACATTCAGAAGCATTCAGACGCATCAAAAAGCATCTAGAATCTTCCAGAACAGGTTCACACAGGTTCATTTTACTATATAAAATACATGTAAACCGAGATGTAATTCAGTCAGTATTATCAAGACAAAAAGTGAAATACAACAAGTGTTTCATTACATCAATACAGTGCACATCCAACCAAGACGTTGTGTATCACCACAAGGTAAATGTAACAGGGTAAGCCATGAGAAGCGTAATTATTTATTTTTATTATTTTTATGACTTCAAGTGCAAAAATGGCTTCCGACAGTCTTGGATTGAAACTAAGAAAGAAAATTATTGGCGATTACGTAAATGGAATGTCACAAAAAAGTATTTGTGATAAATATCGCGTGAAAAAATGGACCGTATCATAACTATGTTCCAAATATCGTTCTACGGGGAAGTTGGCAGCAGATAACAAAGGTGGAAGGCCGCGTTCCACCACTTCTAGAGAGGATTCTATGATCGTCAGATCCGTCAATAAGGATCCCTGGATATCATCAGTCAAGATACAAAAGCAATTAGAGCTGCCTGTATCGGACCGAACAATCAGACGACGTCCTGTTGAAGCCGGATTGTTTTCTCGACGCCCTGCAAAGAAACCGCTGATTTCACTAAAAAACCAGAAGAAAAGACTCCTGTTTGCTACATCTCATATTGACTGGAATGTGCAGAAATGGCGAACTGTCCTGTTCAGTAATGAGTTGAAGTTCAACAACATTGGGAGCGATGGCATTTGCTGTGTACGTCGACTGGCTAGAAAACGCTTCAATTTACGTTACTGCTATAAGACCGTGAAGCATGGCGGAGGCAATTTAATGGTCTGGGGGTATTTTTTTGCTAACGGTTCAGATCCAATACATTGAATCGATGGAATAATGGACCATTTCATCTATAAAAATATTCTGAAAGATGTTACGTTACCTCATGCTGAATAGAGTATGCCAATAAAATGGGTTTTTCAGCAAGGCAACGATCCAAAACACACTGCAAAAGTAGTCAAGCAGTGATTTCAAGACAACCACCTATCGGTGATGAATTGGCTGCCTCAATCTCCGGATCTCAACCCTATCTAGAACCTGTGGGAGATCGGTCAATCGCAGAATTATTCATGAAGGTGTTCGTAATAAGGATTAACTGTTTGAACAAATCCAAAAAGCCTGGGCAGCGATTCCACAAAGTTTCATCGATCATCTGATCGAATCTATGCCCCAAAAATGCAAGGCTGTGATCGACAACAACAGATTCGCCACGAAATATTGATAGCGAAATACAGCTTGGTCAACATTTTGCGGAGTTGCACTTGTTTTGTCCAGAAGGAAATCAACTTTTTTAATTTAATAATTTTTGTGTACAAATAATGAACTTTGTGATGAATAAAACTTAAAGAACGTTGTCTCTAAACAGTTACATAGTTATTTCTCTAAATTGAAAAAATGCAGCACTTTTATAAAAAAGTAACTAAATTAGCATTATTTGGTTGCACTTGTTTTGTCCGATACTGTATATATATGTGTGTATATATATATATATATATATATATATATATATATATATATATATATATATATATATAAATATATATATATATATATATATATATATATATATATATATATATATATATATATATATATATATATATATAACTAATTACTTACTCACAAACTTATTTATGTTTTATTACGGGCCAGCCGAACTTGGCCTGTGAAAAAAAACTAAATACTTAAAAAATGGCCCGGAAAATTTTTATATTAGAAATTGTACAAGTAATGTTTTTTAAGAAAAGTATTCAATAATATGAACCAGTAACCATAGCCATTGGTTTCAATCCTAGGAAGCTAATTTATCTAGTCGCAGACATAGATGTGCATATATTGCGTGTTTTGTTTGCACAGACACTTATATAAAAGAAAAGCTTCTCTCATGCTTTTAATTTTATTCGAATTTTGCTTTTTATTGTTTTTAAATATCACACACCTTTTTAACCTTAAATGTCTACTACTAAATCATGTATAATCTACTACTACTACTACTACTACTACTACTACTACTACTACTACTACTACTACTACTACTACTACTACTACTACTACTACTACTACTATTACTAGATCTATAGTAATTAGAACACATTCGTTTTAATAATGTTGACACATCAGTTGTTTTATACTGTATATCATGTCACATCAGTTGATTGATACTGTCGCGTTTATCCATGAATATATTACATATTTATGATTAGAAGCCATATTCATAAAAATGTATAATTTAACAACCCTCAACGTTAAAATTGTCTTAACTTTGTTAAATTGACAATTTTATGTACATCAAAATAACTTTTTTTAACTGTATTGATTTCAGCTTTTGCTTGAAAAACAATTTGAACTTTTTCTACATTCAACATTCTATTCTATATATATTTATATAACATAATTAATGTAATTTGTCTAAGTAATAATTTTTCGAACAAGTTCTGTTGACGTTTACTAATTTGATTATTTTCAGTGAAAATATTAGATAAGTTTCTAAAATACAAAAAAAAAAAAAAAAAAAATGCAAAAAATGCAAAAAATTATCAATTTTTGTAAATTGTATTTTAAATTGTTTTCTCGTCGTCACTGATGCCGTCACTAACGACTTCCATAAAAGATTCTTGATTGCTCACCTAGAGAAAAAACAAATAAATTAATTCCTGAAATTACTGTACAATAAAATTAATGTATTGACAAATAAATCACCTCCAGCCCAAACAAATCCTCATCAAGTGCGGAGGGAAAGGATGCAGAGGCCCTCCATTTAGATGATATAATTTTGGAAGAATTTTCTTTTAATGGTTTTAAATAATTAAAACGATTTTTTTTTGAAGGTTGGACCAAAGTAGATGAACCACATAGAGAGAATAATCGAGTTTTCTTTAACTCTTGTGAGTTTTCCTTGGGTGCTAGCGACTTTAATATTATATTAGAATCTCCCTTTTTTTTACATTGCTGTCGTTGAAAGCACTGTGTGCTAAGTTGTTGACGATGTTCAGCTAAATAACAGTATTCTTCGTTTGCCTTATTAATCTCCTTTAAAATGCTAAAAAAGAAAACATTATTATTTAACTTATTTTAAGATGTTTTTTGTTAAAGAAGTAGTAAAACCTAGTGGAATGATCAGTTTTTGAATTTCTTATTAAAAGTCCCTATTTCAATAAACGTCTTAACTAGCTGAATCAGTGATATGAACCAGCAGAATTAAAAAGAATTTTGTTAAAAAAACTTGAAAAGATTTTCAAAATTTTTTTGATCTAGAGCAAATTAAGTGGGATGATTATGACATAGCGACGCGCAAAATGATGTCAATTATGAAAATCTATGAAAAATTCAAATATTACAAACATTTCGAACCTTTAACCAATGTAAAGCAACGTTTACGCTTTAACCCCCTTCCATAAAAATAAAATAAAATATAAGGTCACGTAGATTTTTCAGCGAATACTTGAATCATTTTTAAGGTTTTTAAAAAAATAAAAGAGAAGTTTTTTTTTTTAATTTTATTAGAAATACATTGTTTAAAAAAAAAAAAAAAAAAATTAAAAAGTATATTATTTTGGTACCAAATTCAATCAAAAAAGAAAATCAGGTAAAAAAAACCACCACGTGCTTTTATAAAGACTTGAATACATTTTGGCATAGATTCCATCAGATGCATGAATAATTCTTTTGAAATTATGCAATATTTTACAAAAATTTTGCAAAAATTTCTGTGCATTTACCGAAATCACTGTTGATTGATATTTATAAATGACTTTAATTTGAAAAGTCATTTTTAAAAATGTTATACCAAACAACCAACAAAACTATGAAACTGAAACCTTTTAACTGTTCCATAAGAATTGCAGCCTCATGAGAAACTTGAACATCAGTTTTCTGAGTTTAATAGCCAAAGTAATTTAAGATGTGATTAGCTTGATAACAGACTGCTTTAACACTGCTTATTCTTGCTTCCCAAAATGTGTCATTAATCATTTTTATATTATATAATTCCAAGTGAAAGGTTAAAATTTTAAAAATGAGCAGAAGTGAGCAAAAGTGAATAAAGTGACCCCTACAATCATTAAATTCTTGTGCCTATTTAATTAAATTATCAACAACAACTTCAGTCTGTCTTTTACCAATATACATTCATTCTTTTTCTTTTACTGCCTTCTGTTTTCTATATTCTGATTCAAATGGTTTTTTTTTAAAATAAGATCAACGCATTGAAATTTGCATTAATTAATTATATAGTAATCAATAAAATCTGCAACCAATTAAGTAAATCTCTGTTAACCTACCAATTAAATTTCTTTTAACCTAAATACTTTTAAAAATAAATTAATCATGGTAAGACTTATTTTTAGCAAGGAGGTTTAAATTTTTTGTTAGCAAAAATAACCATCTCTGTTACAATTAAAATAATGATCTCTCTGTTAGTATAATCTATATATTTGAATATCAAGGCTAATCATATTTTTTGAATGTTTAAACCTTTTCTATCAATTGTAAGTTATCATTTTGTATGCAAATTTTATGGGTCTACAATAGGCTGTGGATGTAAACTTTTGATTTATTCAAATAGGCACCTTTTCGTTGCTGTTGTTAAATCCAGTCAAATCCAATGGGACTAGACAAGTAATAAACTATGATTCTATATATTTTAAGTCTCTGTCCTTTATGCTAGGTTCTGATAAAACTTGTTTATAAATGCTTCAGCCAGTAGCACCATCAAAACTAACCTTACACGTTAGTTTCATTTTTTTTATTGCTTTGTTTTTCAATATCAAGTGCCTCAGCACAGGTTCCTGAACTGCACAGATTCTTTGCAAAGTATGAATTATTAATTCTTTTAAAGGAACTGAAGCTGAACAGTCCTCCACTGTTATATTTGCAGAATAACATTTTAATTTCAATTTTGCATCTGCTTACATCATTGTGAGCGGGGTTATATTCGTTCTCCAAGGCTCCACTACAAATCAATTCATAGGAAGCTCTTGTCAGACTGGCATCAATTATTAAAGCCAGTGCTTCGTCTGCTAAATATTTATTTGCTTTATCTGTATTTGAAATATTTAAAATGTTCTTGGCAGCAATAACAATAGATTCATCTCTTAATTTTTTACTAGCAGCAAAAAATAATTCATTGGATGAATGAGATTCAAGTAAGCAAGATACACGCTAATTTTTAGTTTTACTAAAATTATCAAATGTAACTGATTTTCGACCAGGTCTACTAAAAAGATGTTGTTGCTATGATATGCAAAGTAAGGTATCCATAGCAACCCAAAAAAATTAATCACATAAGAATTGTGAATCTCATTTTAATACATACACCTAATATTGTGTTTTTAGCGCAAATAAAATACTGTTAAAAGAACATTAATGTAAAAATAGGTTGTTGCTATGGAAAAATAAGTACCATACCAACCAAAATAAAACATATCTCTGATTGGGGATTTAAGGGAACAAGCAATCAATGGAAACTCGATTAAAGCATCATACAGCTCGAATAAATATAAGACAGCACATGGCAAATTTTGTCAATTATTAGTTATAGTGCAGCAAAAAAAAATTTTCTTGAAGATTTTTTTTTAATCTGTAATTTTTAAAGTATAACTGAGATAACATGCTGTGACAAATTTATTTCACACAATGGTTTTTCTTATCTCTAACAACATTAAAATAACACGTACTAATTTTTTGTTTTAAAAACGTAGATGTAATTGAAATATCACAAAACATTGATATCACCAAAATTACTTATATATATATATATATATATATATATACATATATATATATATATATATATATATATATATATATATATATATATATATATATATATATATATATATATATATATATATATATATATATATATATATATATATGTATATGTATATATATATATATATATATATACTTTTTTAATTTTAATATTCAAATGCTCATAGTCCTATTAACTAAGGGTTCTAATCTAAATAAATTATCAATAAATTTCTCTTAATATATATAGATACTAAAACTAAATAAGTTTTCAAGATTAGACAACTAAAATTTTTTCCATTCAGTCCACCTGCTGGCCCACTGTGCAATCACAAGATCTCTCTTCTATCAGATTTTTATGGGAGGTATTAAAAGTAATGTCAAAATACCTAATGATGCATAATGATGTATGTATGTATGTTCATTAAAATGCCTAATGATGCATAATGATGTATTTATGTATATTCATTAAAATGCCTTATGATGCATAATGATGTATGTATGTATGTATGTATATTCATTAAAATGCCTAATGATGCATAATAATGTATGTATGTATATTTATATGTACATATGTATATGTATAATTGATTTCAAAAATAAAACTGGCAATCAAATTAAAACTTTTACTGAAAATAGACATGCACAATTTGCTCTAGATCAATACAGATGTTTTAGAATGTTTTAGATCTTGCTTGTTTAAACTCTAACCAAAATGCATACAAACATAATTTGTATTGAGCACAACTACATAGAAATTGGACAACATAATTTAGATAAGAAATTCAAAATTAATATTTTTAGTCTGACTAATTTTTAAGAAATACCTCTAATATAAAAAAAAAAGCCTTAAAAATAAAAATCTGTAATCAATGTAACATTAAATACCGTTGAAGTTCAATGTTTTCGTTGTTGCTAGTGAGTGTCGACTTCAGACACATTAATTGAGATATTTCATCTTCATACTCAGAAGATTCTTTAAGAAGATCTAAATAAACAAAATTTTTTGTTAACTCTTACTATCAAAACAAAGAAAAAAATACATACATTTTATATTGCATATATAATATTGCTTATATGAACTTTTAAGAACCTTTTAAAAATTGATGCTGTTACAGATTAATTAAACTTTATCCAAAAGTTTTACACTATTTACAATATTTTTAAAAAAACTTAACTGTATCCTAAACTAATGGAAGAGTTATAATTAAATGGTGAAAAAAAGAAGAAAAAAAAAAGTACAAAATATATATTTGATAAAAAATTAGTAGAGTAAAGCAGGATACAATGATTATTTATAATTATTAAAAAAGAGGTAGAATGAAATAGAGGATATAATGAATTAGAGGTAGAATGAAATAGAAGACATAATGAATTAGAGGTAGAATGAAATTAAGAATATAATGAAATAGCTCATAATTACCTATTTTCAATCATATTGAAGAGAATCTTTTTTTGAATAAGATGATTTAAAATATTTAATTATAACATATTCTTGTATAACTTTATACACCAGCCAATAATCAAAATGAAAATTGCTATTTCTGGCAAATATTTGAGTTAAAAAAACAAAAAAAACAATAAACTATAGGGCTGAATGAAGTATTCTATTTGTTAATTTGGCTTTTTTAAAAAAAAATGTTTAAACTGACCAATGAATCTCTATATACTCTTAAACGGCTCGTAGTGTAAATTTTAAATCAATTATTTATTTTATTATAACATATGCCTTGAAAAAAACTTTTACACAAAAAACAAAACAATCAAAAAAAAAAAAAAAAAAAAAAATACAGCGTAATAGCAAGTTGCACTTGCAGTGGCCAAAATACAAAATTTTTACTTCATTCAGCATACCAGTACCAAATCTTTACAGGGATGTCCTTGGCACAGGCAAAAAATTTAGCAGTGGTTCAAATATGAGAATGCAACAACAACAATCAACTCAAATAGACACAGTAGATACACTAATTAAATAACCTGATTAAGGTTTTGGCAGAATAATGACACCACCACACTAACTAATGACTAATCGCAACACTAATCACTACACAACACTAAGACCATTCACTTTTTTCTAAAGGTACACAGGAAGAAATTGGTACAAGCTTTTCATCCACTGGTGAAGTCATAAGTTAAGCATCAGAACTCTTAGCAAAATTTTATCACTTCTGCTTCTTGCAAGAAACAGTAGCAAAGTATTTCAACAGACTACAAAGCAAATAATATAAAATTTTTAAAAATAACAAAAAAATAATTAAAATTTAAAAAAATCTTGTTAAAATACACATATATAACTTTTGATATAATTTTATTATAAATATCATTTTCTAAACAATAGAATCCAAAATAATTATCTCTTGAATCCCAAAAGATATGATATACTTTAGAAGAAAAATATTTTTTTTAATTATGACACTTATCATGTCATTTGTTGTCTTGGTGCAGAACTATTTTTAAAACCAGCTTATATAAAAGTTTATGAATAATCAGGTTACAAAAGCTCATTTGTGACTACACAAAATTTTATAAAAAATATTTTAGTCATAACCCTAATGCCCACTATATAGACTTAAGGATTTAAACAGACAGTTGAAAGTAACAACCTAGCAATAAGAAAATCTTTTTCCTACCCAGAATTTCGTTTTCTTGTGCGCTTTAATTGGTAATGCTGGTTTTAGTTTGAATTTCTAGGCATAAGGTTTTACTTTAGATTCTAATAATATATATTTACAAGCTGAAACGTATTTAAAATAAAATTCTTTTTGTTCCTTCTTGGTCAAAAAATATTATTTTTTGAAACTCAGAAAATAGTGTTTTCATAATTAAAAATAACAGAAAACCACATTACTATTGAATGCCTTCTGTCTTCAAAATGTAATTAATTTAAAAACAACATAAGCTTTAATAGTTTTTTAACTTATAAAAATTTTATAACTTTTTATAATACTTTTACTTTATAAAAATTTATCTTTATTAAAAGAAAAAGAAGATATTATTAACAAAATCTGCATGAACAAAAAGTACATATCAAATAGCTCATTGTTCGAGGAAAATCTTTTTTTAAGGAATCCAGAAATTCAGTTTGTTTTTATTGCTATAAAAAAACAGATTTTTTTTTTTTAAACCTCCCTAATGCCAAGAAGGCCACTACAGATGAGGAGGCTACTTAATTGTGGTTATAACCCTCTCTCAACTCTATAACTCCGAAACACAAACCTTGACGAACAAGGCTGCTGCGCAGAGGAACAAGTTGAGCGTGGTACTACCAGGGACATGGTGGGGATCGAACTTGGAACTTCTCACTTATGAAGCGAGCGCTCTACCACTGCACCACTAACGCATATTCAGAGTATGTCTCATTGGCAACACAATGGCATTGAAATAATGCTTACTATGACAAAAAAGTTTTGTTTCAATTTTTTTTTTATTTCTATTTTATACATATTTTACAATTAATTAGATTTTTCACTACATATTTCACTAAAATAAAAAAATGATCTTGTTCACAGCAGAGAACGTCTGTGAAAGTAATTGAAGATATTTGGAAAAGAAGAATAAAAGTAATGAAAAAATGGAAAAGTGCTGCAGTTCTTCATTCAGCGAAATGCCATAAATACGCAACTATAATAGCACACTTAGATTGAACTTTGACTAAATATATGCTAAATCATCCTATAATAGGGAGCTGCAGGGGGCTTTAGTATATATATTGATTGATAAAATATAAATAGCTAAAAAACAAAGTAAATGTATTTAAGTAAGAAATAGGCCTGTCAACATGGATAAGTTAATAGTTTGATAATTTTGAAATTTTTCAAATTTTTAAATTTAATTCTTTAATAAGATGTACTTGAAACCAGTAAGGAAATTTAAAAAAAATGTTCTTAAAGTCAATATAAAAAAAGTTGTTACAAAATAATACTGCATTAAGAAAAAATTTCTTAATGCAGTATTATTTTGTAACAACTTTTTATATATTGATGACAAAATTTATAATAGCAAGAATGAACCATTAAATAAAAAATAAAAAATCTAATTTGAATATTATTACTTAAAACATTTTATAAACAAATTTATAAAACCTTTTTTTTTTATATGGACTTGTTTTAATGCCTCATACAACTCATTTTTCTCCTCAGTAATTTTTTCATTTTCAACTTTTTGTGCTTGCAATCTATGAATGACTAAAAAAAGAAATTATACAAATAAATGCATAAAAAATAAAACTCAACAAATACAAATGTAAAATAGTAATACTGACTTTCCAGTAGTTTATTGTTTTCTTCTGTCAATTTGATATGATCAGCTTTCATAGTTTCCTCAAAGCTAGATTTTTTCTCATTCATGAGTTCAAATTCCTTCAAAAATTTATCACAACTTGACAGAAATTCTAAGCTGAAACAGTAAAAAATTTAAATTTAAATTCAAGTCTTTAAGTCCTTAAAAAATTAAAAATTTTTTTTTTGAAATTTCCTTTTAAAAACAAAAAAAATTAAAGTCCTTCTTTTTTTTTTTTCTCACAACTTTTTAGAACTTGACGGCTCCAGACTCAACTGTTTAAATATAATGAATTGCTTCCAGATAATTTAAAAAAAAAGTTAAAACTTTGAACACTAAAAATTTATCCTTGATAATAAGCTAGAAATAAAATTCAATTATTAGGAAATGTAATAATTGTTCTTCAATGTATAATTTTTCTTCATTACTTTGCATATATTGTGTGCATATTTTTGATAAATTTTTTGCATTTCATTTTGTTGCTAAAGTATGCAATCATTTGCTCGCATTTTCTATAAACTATGACTATTTCAGTTATTTCATTGCTTTTTCATTATCACAATAGCTTCAAATTTAACAAACTCTCTAATAGCTCTAATCCTAAAGGAAACAATAGGCTATGATTATCAATAACCATTTTAACTTTTAAATTATGAAAGTAAACAAAAAGATTTTTTTTTTAAATAATTTTTTTTTCGGAACCAATTTTGTATTACTTTTTCATAAAATTTTCTTTTTTTATCAGCTCATGTTGTTTTATTATGAGCAATTATAGATAATTCAGTCATATTCAAATACAGTTACATAAAAATTTTGACTTTATTATTTGTAACATTTTGAAAAACACTGAATACAGTTTTGTTAAGAGGTATTTTTACCATTCAAAACTTTCTTTTCAGTTAAGCACATAAAATAGTTTTTCATTCAAATTATGCTCTTAATAAACTTGAATAAATTATCAATTATTGCTGGTTGCTAAGATCCTGCTCTTAAAACTTGCAAAAATGTAAAAATTATACTTTTAGGGGAAAATATGGGAAAAACAAGTTTTTTTATAAAATATGGGGGGAAAAAAATGGTTTTTCCATATTTTCTCATGAAAATATAGTAACAAGTTTACCATCCAAATAATTATTTAATATAATATACAAATATTTCTTTATTATTAACCTTTTATATTATTATTTATTTAATGTAATATATAAATATATATATAATATAATATATAAATATATAAATAATATATAAATATATAAATAATATATAAATATATTATATAAATATTTTTAATATAATATATAAATATTTAATTTTAAATAAATATATAAATACTTCCATAAATATATATTTTTAAAGTTTTAAAATAAAATATATTTAAGTTTAGTAACATGTCATAAACAAAGTTGACTCATAAGCTACTCAGCTTATTGTATTGGTTGCTCTATTTATTTTAATCTGCAAAAAATAATTTTATCTGTTCCCTTTATTAATAGCACTAGCTGCTTTATAACACTAGCTGCATCATTTATTCTTTTTAATTTGCAAAAAAAAGTTGTTTTAGCAAAGTTGCAGCATAAAACTACTTCTTTTTTATCATTGCATTAATGCAAAATTTAGTATTTCTTTTCATTTTATTTTTTTGTATTTTTTTTTCATATTAATACTATTCATTGAATTTATATTATAAAGCTTGTGAAAAAAAAAAAAAACAACAACAACAACAAAGAAGATTGCAAAAAATTTAGGCACTATTACAAAATGGAGATTATAAAACAATAAAAAAATGCCTAAAACGGAAAAAGCACAGTGTTTAGGAGTCTCAGAAAGATTTACAAAAGTAAAAAAATTTCTTCTTTGTACTCTTCTGTGGTTCTGTAATGTCAATATGTTAGATTTTATTCCTTAGTTTTTACTTGTAATAATCTCTTGTAATTGTCTTATTTTGATCTCTTGTAATTTGTCTTATTTCAATATCTTGTAGTTATCTTATCTCAACAAAAGAAATTTTGTTCTTTAGTTTTTACTTATAATTTCTTGCAATTGTCTTCAAAAAAAGAGAAAATTTAAAAACTATTAAAAAAACTAAAATAAAACTCGAGAAACTAAAAACTCAAGAAACTAAAAACTCAAGAAACTAAACTCTAAGAAAAAATTATTTAAATAACGTTTATAATTACATTTCAAAAAAATAACTTTGAAAATTTAATCCATTCTAATTTTTATAATATTAAGCAAAAAACGTTTAAATAATAATTCTTTTTTTTATTTATTTATATGTTAATTCACCGTCCCATGGCTGAAAAGGCCACTGCATATAAGAAAGGAACTTAAATGTGGTTATAACTCTCTCTCAACTCCAAAACACGAACCTTGACAAACAAGGTTGCTGCTTCAAGAAACAAGTTGAGCGCGATACTACTAGGGACGTGGTGGGCTTGAAACCTCTTGATTATGAAGTGAACACTCTACCACTACACCACTACAACAATTAAAGACACATTTAATTTATTATTACAAAAATTTATCATAAAAATTGTTTTAAAAGACTTTTTAAAAAGAATTTTTCATATAAAATGAATAAATGTCTTAATAAATAAAATAAACCATAAAATCAACTATTTTTGCCTCATATGCCTCTATGCCTCGCCTATGTTTGGTCACTTAAGCTTTGAATATTTATATCTTAGGCATAAATATCCTTTTTTTTTTTCCTGAATTATACAGACAACTATATTATTAATTTATATTTTTAAAAATAAAATATTAAAAAAAAAAACTAGCATTCAATATTCAGTTTCAAATAAAAACAGCTAGTTTGACTGAACTTTCAATGAAAATCTCATATGTTTCATATACCATCTCATATGTTTCATATACCATCTCATATGTTTCATATACCATCTCATATGTTTCATATACCATCTCATATGTTTCATATACCATCTCATATGTTTCATATACCATCTCATATGTTTCATATACCATCTCATATGTTTCATATACCATCTCATATGTTTCATATACCATCTCATATGTTTCATAAAACATCTCATATGTTTCATATACCATCTCATATGTTTGGTCACTATATACATTCCAATCAAGATATTGTAATTTTACAAATTTCACAAGTTTACTAAAGTTAAAAAAATTTCTAGTGAATCTTTTTTGGACGTTTAGAACAACTTTATTAGCTTAGTTTAGTGTAGCAACCTAACTGGAAAGCAATACTCGATAGTCTTATAAAAGTAATGAAGGCACATACTAAGATACATGTTTTAAAACATTTTAAGAACAAATATGCTCTAGTATTTGCTACATGAATGACTCAATGTGATTTATGCAGTTTAGTCGGGAGTCCATAGTTAATTCAAGATTCTTTAAATTAGATGACCATTCTGAAATATTATCACATAACTTTTAGCTAAAAATTCATATTATGCTGCATTGGAGCAAACATTAATCAGAACAATGTACAAAACACCTAATAATGGCCATTGGTAATTAGCAAGTTTCTGATCAAACTATTCGATTAGAAGCAAAAGATAAATTGTGGCTACAATTCATATTATGATATGAACTGTATAACTTTGAAGTCATTGGCTTAAAGTTTTACATTAAGATTTTTACTACAAATAGATTTGTTTACTACAAATGTCATTATATAAAGTCATTAATAGATAATAAAAACTTCCAAAGTGATATGTTAGCAATTTCTATATTACTAGAAATTAGCTTGTTATTGTCATTTTTTTCTGTAAGGTGGTAGATTTTATAAGGAATTTTCAGTTTATTATTAACGTAATTATAAAACTTGCCAATATTATTTCCTTTAACTGGATTTAATATTATTTTCTTCAATTTAATTTTTAATAAGTAATTAAGTAAAGCTTATTTGCATTTTCTTTAATGTGTGTATGATTGGTTCTTAGCACTAATGGACCATCTTTTCCATAAAAATGCTTTGTGGCTTAAGATTTTTAAAATAAATTTTAAACAGTAATTTCACATTTTGTTCAGGTGTTTTTCCTGATGGGTATATATAAATATATATATTATAAGTGATAATGTTTTATAAATATATATATTTTTTTAATTTAAATAAAATGTGTTTAATATAAACAATCATGTTACTTTATTTAAAAATAATTTGCCTAATCAACATTAGAAAGATTAAAGTTTCAAAGTTATTTATTTTTAAGATAATTTAAAATAAATTTTTAGAATAATTTCTCAAATGTTCAAACTTTCAAAATATGTTAACAGCTGTGATCAAATTGTCAAAACAATTTTTTATGCATGGTTAATAATAGTGTGCCGTTGCACCCCATTCCTAATCAAGACTGTTAAAAGATAATCAAGGTAACACACAACTTTTTTATTTTAATCTAAAAAATTTGAATACTTGAAAAAAAAAGAAAATTTTAAAGACTTTATTGCTGACCTTTCTACTGTCGTTGCACTTTCTAAAACTTTCTAAAAGACAGCAAAAAATAAATAGGAAAACAAGATTTTTCAACTGTAAATATCGAAAAAACAAAACAAAACAATAAAATTAATTTTTAAAAAACCTATGAGTAAAAATAAAACACTAAAGATAATTAACAATTATCAATATGAAAGATAAGAAAAATTGGCAGCCATGTATATATAGTTTGAAACTTACAACTTTTTCAGCTAAATCATTTTTCTCTATCAAAGAAGTTTTTTTCTGTTCTAAAAGTATATTTTCTCTTGCTTTTAACCAATTGAATTCAATTTCTTCTTGAATGCATCTTTGACTTGTAGCGCTCAAAGTAGCAAACAGAACTTCAGTTTTCTTTTTTGTTTGTTTTAACATCAATTGCTGATCTTCAATTGTTTGATTTACTAAAAAAATATATTTAATATATTTTTCCAAATCAATTAAAATTACACTATTATCAAGCAATTATTGCTTGATAATAGTGTAATTTTAATTGATTTGGAAATCATATATTTGGAAATATAAGCAAAAAATTACACTATTATCGGCCAATCGTTATCGTAATAATTTAGATCTTCCTATATTTATGAATGGTAATGTACTAGATGAGTCATCTACCATTCATCTTCTAGGATTAACTCTTACTTCTGATCTTTCTTTTAAACCGTATATCAAATCCATTGCAAAATTAGCATCTGCTAAGGTTGCATCTCTTTATCGAGCTCGACACTTTCTTACTCCAGATTCTATTCTCTATCTCTATAAATCTCAAATCCGTCCCTGTATGGAATACTGTTGCCACATCTGGGGCGGATCTTCTAATGATGCTCTTTCTCTTTTAGACAAGGTGCAAAAACGAATTGTAAACATAGTTGGACCTGCTCTGGCAGCCAATCTCCAACCTTTGTCACATCGTCGTAATGTTGCTTCTCTTTCTCTTTTCTACAAATACTATAATGGGCACTGCTCTAAAGAGCTAGCGTCCCTTGTGCCATCTACTAAAATTCATTCTCGTGTTACTCGCCATTCAATTAAGTCTCATCCTTTTTCTGTGACTGTTCCTAAGTGCTTCAAAAACTCTTATTCTTCTAGTTTTTTTCCTCGAACATCAGTTCTTTGGAATTCGCTTCCTTCATCTTGCTTTCCTGATTCATATAATTTGCAATCTTTTAAGTCATCAGTCAATCGTTATCTTGCTCTACAGATTTAGTCTTTTCTCTTCCAGTAACTTCCAACTCTTATAGTGGTTGCTTGCAGCCTTGTTGGAAGTGAAGATGTTTAAAAAAAAAAAAAAAAAAAAAAGCACAAAAAAAAAACATAGATGCATAAATTTTACAAAAATATAAAGAAATAAAAAACTCACCTGTAGCCATACTGAATAATAAACCTCATAAGTATTTTAAATTATTACTTTAAGTTTATAAAATAACTAGTAAAGAAGGTCAACAGATATTTTGTCAACAGATATTGGGATTAAAGTTTCAAATTTACTTATTTTTAAGGTTAATTAAAATAAAATTGTCCCAATATTAAAGTTTTCAAAACTTAATTAAAAAAGTTATTTGAATTCTCCACTAAACAAACACAGCTTTTATTTAAACTGCTTAATAATGTTTAATGAAAACACAGTTTAATAAAGAAATTTTTGATCAAATAGGGCGGCAATATGGTCTTTAGCTTCCACTTTAGCCAACTTAATTTTATACAGAAGTATGTAACTTTAACACAGAAGATATGTAGACAATATCTTTTGTATCTTTAAGAACAATCAAGATACCCAAAACTTCCTAGAATAACAACCAACATCCCAATCTATCAACATCAGTTAAATAAGTATATCAAAAAGTATTGTAAAGAAAACATTAAATTAGTCAAATCAGTTCTGACTTTATTTAAAACTTATAGCATGTTCTCATTAAAAGACCCTAAACACATTCACAGCCTAAAATATTCTAAATAATTTTTTATACATAATATCAGAGAAAATACTTAGTCGAGCTGCAAATTATCAGAATGAACTGCATTGCAGTAGAAACTACTTCATTAAATTCATTTCAAACAAGAATTGATCAATGGGAGTCAAACCACCACAAGAATCAGCTGTGTTTATAAATCTTGTTTATAAATTTGGGTACTACAAGGCACAACAAGGGTTTTGAAGCATCTTAACTCTGAAAAGACCTTACACATTAACAAACATCTCTTATCTCTCCTAAATGTAAAAACTATAAGTAATAACACTATCTCCAATGTTGACAGAATACCCTCTAAATACAAACTTAAAATCAAAGTGAGTATTTATATTGAGCTTAAAAAAGCTTCACTCAATAGCTAAAAAACTGTACCATTATTATTACATGATAAATGCTTCTCACTTAATATACCTTATTTTATATTTCTCTCTTTAACCCTGTTATTTATTCAATTTTATGTAACAATAGTAACAATCTCTATAATAATTAAATTTTATTGTAACTAAATAAAATTTTTAATGTATACAAAATTGTAAAAATTTTAGTCATTAAAAAAATGTAAAACTCAATAAACACGGCTGCATATAAACGTTTTTGAAAAAATATATATTTGTTTTTTTGTTTTTATTTTAATATATATTATTCAATATTTGGCTGATCTATTGTGTCCATAGTCATCAGGTATAATAAATAAAAATTGTTACAAAGAAAATTGTTGTAATAAAAATAAACTGTTAAAAAGATAACATTAAAAAGAGCATGAGAAAATACAAAATAGGATTTAAATATTGACATCAGATAATCTAATAAAAAATGGGCCCTAAGCTTTTGTAGTCGCATTATCACCATCATCCCTATTAAGAATATTTTCGTCACTTATAAACTCTTGTCAAACTTTATCTTTGTTTATTCCAGGGATTCTCAAATTTTTTGAATATGATATTCTGGAGCAATTCAAATGGTTTTGGGATGTAACCAGTCAAACGTACCTTGGTATGATTTAGAATATTTAGTAGCACCTGAACTTGTCCATTTTCCTTTTATACTATTTTTCTGGTTCTCAATACATCTTAATATAATTTTATTTTTGGTTTCACCAATGTATATAGAGTTGTATAAACATTTTATTTGGTAGACGCTTGGGTTTGTGTTTGGAGAAAGTTTTGTTTTATTGTTACAGAATATTTTTTTTTAATTTGGAGCTGATGTGAATATAACTTTTATGTTTTGTTTTTAAATTCTTTTTTAAGTTTGGGACCAACAATTGGATTCTATGGTATCTTTATAAATGGTTGGTTGTCAGTTGGTTGATAATTGGTATTTTTAAATCTATTTTTATATAGTCTCTGGCGATATTAGTTAAATTTGTTCTTGCTTTACATATTCTTTTTGCATGGCATAAAAACTCTTTGAATACGCCAGTGATAATATTAGGATTGATGTTTGAGTTTGGTTTAAGTTGAATATTAGTTATTGCTTCTTTTCAATGTATTTGAAATTCATAAGCTCCATGCATTGTGTTTGTAATATTAATATCTAGAAAATTAAGTTGTTTTAAGTGGATTTCGAGTTCAACATTTTATGGCAGGATTTTGTCAATTTTGTCAAAAAAGTTCTGCCAGTAGTACTGGAGTGTCACCCAATCAAAGACTTTTGGGCTATTTTGAAAGGCTAAGTGTATGAGGGTGACTGGCAAGCAAAAGATATGAAGCAACTACAAACCAGAATAAAGCTTTGTCTGAAAAAATTGAACTTAACCTCGCATTTTCACTTTTTGGGTTAACTCATCTTAAAATTAGCCGAATTTGAAAAACAGACTGGTTGAAGACAAACTTAATTAAAATAAATAACTAAAAACTCTGTTTAATGTTTTATTTAATCTCTACCTTAAAAACTATGGGAGTATTTGCTTTTGAAAGTAAGTTCGGATTTTTAGTAACCACCTGTTAAATATAAATGCATACTTTCATAAGCAGCCTAATGTCATACTTAAATAAGGGGTGGGTGGGTGTTGGTTGTCAGGGGGTTTAGTGCATACATTGACTGACTAAATTGTAAGAAAATACAAAGAGTGCAAGAAAGGCAGCAATCATTTGAATCATTATTCTTTTTTTTTTTCATATTTTTCCAAAATAACCATATAGAAAAAAGTAAGCAATAAGTCAGCAAATGTAAACTTATATATAGGGGAAGTGGGGGCATAACCGCCCCTGTAATGTTTAGATTGATGTTATATGAAAATAAAAACAAAATGTGTTTTTTCAACAGTTTAATTCAATAACCACATTAAATTGTTTTAAAAAAACAAATGCTTTAAATTGTTGCAAATAGGAAAAAACTATAAGAGTTTTTTAAAATTTTATTACACTTAGTAAAAAAAATGGACTTGCCCCCATTGTGAGGCACAACCATAGCCTCACAAAAATCGTTGGGATTACACCTTTTATGGTGTAATCCCAACTTCTTTACAATTTTCACAACTCAGATTATTTGATGAGTTTGTAGCATTTTTGGATACTGTGCAGGCATTGTTTGTATTTACATTTTGAGTTCTGCTCCAGAAGAGAGTTCTGCCCAAGAAAAGAGTTTTTAGAAAGAACTCAGTTTCATAGCTTGCTTATTAGATTATGCTGATATCAAAAATGATTTTCTCTTGATGAAATTACACTGATAACACATATCTTTAACACTAAAATCAAATATTGCTCAATCCTCAAAAGAAAGGTCTGGAAAAACATGATGTAAAAATGAAATTTTTTTAAAAATAAACATTATTATGCACAACTTTTCAGAAACGCATCAAGCACTTTTTTTGACATAAGCAAAATGAAAGAAACTGTTTTACCAATGCGTGATATGTTTTTTACCATATTATCTAACATTTTTCAAAAGAAAATGTTAAAAAGCGGTTGTCCCTCCATATGCGGCAACCTAACTGCTGATCTGAAAGTATTTAAGGTCGGCGAAAAAATGCCGACCTTGTTTCTATGTTTTATGGTCAGACCTTTGTATCAAATAATTTTTGCACACCTGATGCTGACCTAAAAAAGATTGAGATCAGCAAATTATTGAAAACCTCATTTTGTGTGTGTGTGTATATATAATATATATATATATATATATATATATATATATATATATATATATATATATATATATATATGAATATATATATGTATATATATATATATATATATATATATATATATATATATATGTATATATATGTATATATATATGTATATATATGTATATATATATGTATATATATATGTATATATATATATGTATATATATATATATATATATATATATCAGGTCTAGACAGGAATAGCGTGCGATCCCACGCTGTAACTGACCAGGCTTATAATTTTTTTTTTTCAAAAAGAAATCTTTGCTTCAAGTTTGAGCTTTTTGAGTTTTATTTTATT